GACACAAAGATCCGCCCATCAAACACAGTCACGCCAGCAGCACTGCGGCTCACGCTCATGTCCGTCACAAACATCCACCTGGAGAGCAGAACAGGTGGGTCACATGACAAGTCCCTAGATAAATAACATAATTCCAACCCTTCATCACATTTACATGCCCAGGTGGACTTACCTGTCAGTTTCTGGAAAGTAACACTCGACTGAGTTCAGAGAAGACTTCCCATCGTAGCCACCACACACGTAGATGCGTCCGTCAATCACAACGGTTCCCATGGCACTAAGGATGATGTCACAGCCAACACAAGTATGAGATTATTGATCAGAAAGTGATTCCAGTAGTGATCGGGTATTTACCTGCGCTGGCTGTTCATGCTTGACACCTGTGCCCAGCTATCTGTCTCTGGGTTGTACACCTCTACTGTGCTGAGCCGTGATTGGCCATCGTATCCACCAATAGCATACAGCAGCCCATTAACAACAGCTACACCCACTCTGCTACGAGTTGTTCTCATTGGCTGACAGCGCTCCCAGAAGTTTCCCACCGGATCAAAAACCTCCACCACGTTTAAAGAGTCACCTGAAAGAGAAAAGACCTCAGTCAGCTCCACCTGAGCTCATGGTGTGTTGTCTCAGGTGACAGGTGAGCAGATACCTGAGCTGTTCAGTCCTCCCACTGCATAAATAAGTCCTGAAATGGATGTGCAAGATCTCTGTCTGGTCTTATAGTCGGGCAGGTGAGGACGCCGCTCTGGCATTAGGTGGAAATCTTTGGCTTCATCTACCAAGTCTCTGCCAGAGAACAACAGAGTGTTAGAAAATCACAAACCCAATAAATCAAAGACTGATCCATGAACCAAAGACTGATTAACGAACCAAAGACTGATCAACGAACCAAAGACTGATCACTGAACCAAAGACTGATCAACAAACCAAAGACTGATTAACGAACCAAAGACTGATTAACGAACCAAAGACTGATTAACGAACCAAAGACTGATCAATGAACCAAAGACTGATCAATGAACCAAAGACTGATCAACGAACCAAAGACTGATCAACGAACCAAAGACTGATTAACGAACCAAAGACTGATCAATGAACCAAAGACTCATTAACGAACCAAAGACTCATTAACGAACCAAAGACTCATTAACGAACCAAAGACTGATTAACGAACCAAAGACTGATTAACGA